TTGGCTTCTTTGTTTTCTAAAGCTTTCAGTTGTGCTGTTAATTCTCTAGTGTGATTATTCTCCTCTTTCTTCATGTGGGCATTTAGTGTTATGAACTTTCCTCTTAGCACTGCTTTCAAAATATCCCATAGGTTTGGATATGTTATGTCTGCATTCTCATTGAATTCTAGGAAATCTTTAATTTCTTTATTTATTTCTTCCTGGACCCATGGATTGTGCAATGGGGTGTTACTTAATTTCCATGTCTGTAGTTTTCTATAGTTTGTGTTGCTGTTCTAGGTATTTTCTGCATTCCTTCCTTCACAACAAAGATGTATGTTCAACAGCAATGTTCCTGACACCTGGGGCTCAGTGGACCAGGACCAGCTGCACATCTGGGCTTCAAACAATTCTTCCATGGTATTATCTCTAAATGCATATACTCTGGTGTGGGTTCATAGCTGCTGAGAATGACGCCGTGAAACAGCTAACCATTTGAAATCTTGTGAGAAAGGAATGCTGTTCAGCTCCCATTTTTAGTTGTTATCGCATGGTTCGGTACTAAGCTTCAGACTAAATGGTCTCCATTGACTGCCACAGAACCAATGTGTCTTTTAAATAACACTGTCCCATCACACAATCAGAAACACTTCTTTGTAGCCAAATGGTCATTGTGTTTGATCTACTGCTATTACGGTGGGCTTTGCCCAAAGTGTGAGCAAGCAGATCCAGTAATAAACAGTCAAGAGCTTCACCCAGGGGGAAATGTTTTGCATCCGATCCACTCGGGACACTTGCCACACTCAGTCATGGTCGAGCTCCTTAGGGGCTTTCAAAGCTGCTGGAGTAACCCGCAGCAAAGGCTGAGACAAACAACCCAGCGCCTAGGAAGAGAAGTGTTCTTTCACACATTCACAAATTCAAATGCCGGAAGCTACTTCATCTGATGTGTTTGATAATGGGGGGTGTGGAGGGGCTTCCCTGGCAGGCATCCCAAGGGCTCTTCCTCACTAGAGTGTAATGACTATCTAGGTGGGAAACACTTGTTGGGCTGTTTCATCTCTGGAATAAAGAATGTTCCTGTTTTCCTTATGGGTCTGGGGCACGGCGCCTCTTAAGTGTTCTTGGAGGCTGTGCTTGCTAATGCCATCAACTTGACAGGATCCAGAGGGCACTTAGGATACAAGCGTCTCCAAGCTGTGTCTGAGAGGGACTTTCTAGGTTGGGTTGGTTGAGGTGGAACCACCTACCTTGCATGGAGATGATAACACACCATGGGCTGGCATCCTGGGCTGCTGGGTGCCAACATCCATCTCTCTCTCTCTGCTCCCTGACCTCAGCTGCAAAGTGACAGATAGCTGTTCCAGGCTGCTGCCAAGGCTTTCCCAACAGGGTGGACTGCCACCTGAGCGGTGAGCCAAACAAGCTCTTCCTTCTTCAAGGTGTCTATCCCAGTCACAACAAGGGGGGAAGTTACTAATACAGCCCCCAAGTTTTATGGATCCGTTAATCGTCAAAGTGACAGGTTCTCTGCTGGCCTTCCACACACTTGTCCATAAGTATTATCTTGAATTATACAAAGCTACTTCATAGCTAATGCCCGCCCCCAACACAGACACACACACACACACACACACACACACACACACACACACTCACACATATACATACACACACATATAGTATGCCTGATAAGTATTTACACTAACACACACTTCAGGCTGTAGGTTTTATAAGGTGATTGCTAATTCTTCACTTAGATTTAAAATCATATGCTTTCTCTCTCTCAGCATGCCCTCACTTTGTTCTTTTCTATTGTTTGGGATTTTTTTTTTTCTGGTTACCTTGAGATGGCCTCTAAGGTACTCAATCCATCGGGTGTCAGACTCATTACATGGTAGAGGCTGTCCCTGAACTCCCTAGCCTCCTGCTCCTGCCTCTCATGTGCTGGGACTACATGTATACGCTCACTTCTACCCTCGGCTATATCATGCCAGCTAAGGCTGATGGCTGGAGGGAGACATAGTTACTCCAGGTCCTCCCCCTTGCCTCCTGAGTCCAGCCCCTGGGTGGTCACTGTCACTCTTGAAGAGTGAGCCACCTTTTAAAGCTTCGCTTTGGAATTGACTGAGATATGCTGTAAAAATCAGTCACATTAACTTATATTTGCACTTTTTTTTTTTTTTTTGAGACAGGGTTTCTCTGTATTGTTTTGGAGGCTGTCCTGGAACTTGCTCTATAGACCAGGCTGGCTTCGAACTCACAGAGATCTGCCTGCCTCTGCCAAGAGATGGGATTAAAGCCATGCACCACCAATGCCTGGCTATATGTGCACTTTTATGCAATTCAATGCTAATAGAACTTTACCCTGAAGGGGAGGTGCTGGTGCCTGTCCTTGTGGACACTGAGGCAGCCTACTTCCCTTTACACCCACCTATACAGAAGATCCCATTCCCTCACAGAGAAGCTCCAAGTCTTTTCATCTCCCTGCTTCTTCCACTTTATATGTTCAGCTATGACTAGGTTCTCTGCCAAGCCATTAGAATATCTCTCATAGGAGGCTTGAGAGGTGCCCCTGCAGTTAAGGGCGCTGGCTGCTCTTCTAGAGGACCCTGGTTCAATTTCCCACACCCACACGGTGGCTCACAACCATCTATTAACTCCAGTTCAGGAGACCAGAAGGTGTCAGACACTGCTCAAATTATCTGTGGACTCCCCTTGGGCAGCTAGTCCAGTGATCCTTGGTGGGGGAGGAGTTTCTACAGGGATCATTCTCACTTTCTGGGAGTTGGAGCACCTGAAAGAGCAGCCTCCACAAGGCACAGGGTGTACTTCGGGCCCCTGCTGCTCCATTACCCAGCTTCAGCTCTATATTCCCCACCAAGAAAGGTTAAGTTTCAAAGAGAAAAAAAAGAATAAAAATACACTACAGAGTAAGCAAAGAAACAAGAAGGACATAAATAGCAAAGCGGAAATCATTTGTCTGAAGTCAAAAATATTCCCCAAAGAAAATAAGATCAACCCTTCAGGCCACTTGCTTCTGTGTGAAATACAGCCTTGCTCTCGGTTCAGGGGCTGTAGGAAATAGTGCTCTGCTGCTCATTAGGCTGAGGAGGGGTGGGGGCATCCCCAGTCCCACTTTTGTGTCTCCATCTTACAGCCTAAGCATTTGAATACTAGGAATTCAACAAAACTCAATCTTAATTACTTTCTTGGCAAGGCTGTTTTCAGTTTGTTGGAGCCTTCATCTCTTCACCAGGCACAAAGGCTGCACCTGAATTGTCACCTTCCTGATTCTCCCTCCCTGCTACCATCCCCTCCTGTGCCTGGGGACTGAACCTGCTCTGTTCTAAGCCCTCTGGGATGAACAGTGCCAGCTATAGTCTGTCCCCTCCCTGCATGCCACACCACTTGCCAGAACAGAGCTGAGGATGGGCACACAGCACAAAGTGCCTATCAAAATCAGGTCACTCAGAAAGTCCCATGATGTTATGAGTATTTCATTTATGCAGAGGAGGGAAGAAAAGCTGGCTACCCCGTGAAAAGCAATTACTTTAGAGCTGTCATTGAATGGCCTTCTCTTTCTTAACTAAATCACACACACACACACACACACACACACACACACACACACACACACACACACAAACACACACAAATTGAGTCAAGGAGAAAACTGAAGCTGTGGGGAATCCGGGTAACTGTGGCTGCTGTATTTGTAAGTCTAAAGGCAACCTTGCCAAAGTTTCAAGACCAACAAAGCCAAGCTGAAAATGACCACCTGGGGCTTACTTAAAATCCTCTTCCCAAAAGGATGGCTCATAAAGTAAATAACAATATCCTGGGGAGAGTAATGACACACGGGATCCCAATTTAACACAGAGAGAGCCTGGTGTGGCTCCAGGACTGGGTTGACAGTGACCATTACCATTCCCTCAGAACACCTGGCAAAGCAATCTGTCCGTCCACCTAGGAAAAACCTGGCAGTCACACTTCCAGGGACTATGCTAAGTCCTGTCCCCTCAAGGCCCCGGATCACTTAACTCTGAAGGTGATGTCACTCACCCTCTCAGCTGTCAGGAAAGTCTGTGAGACAGAGACATGAAAAGATAAGAGGTATGGGGAAACTAGCCAGCCATTCACAAGTACCATCAGAAAGAAAGAAAGAAAAAAAGAAAGAAAGAAGGAAGGAAGGAAGGAAGGAAGGAAAGAAACAATGGGCTCCCCCACAAGCTCCACAACTACATTTAAAATGGTTTGTGAAGGAAGGTCTGTCCTCACTATGTGAGGGGACATGGGACACAATGGGACATGGGACAAAAGCTAACTTTTGTGTGGGGAAGGACCTACAGAAAATGAATATTAGGGAAGCATTTGTTTTCTCAGGAGAACTCAAATCCAGTGAGTGATTATCAATGGGCTAACTGTAGGGGTGGAAACACAGATACAATCTTAAATGTGATGGCCCGAGGTGAGCAAAAGTAGGTAGTCACTACAGAACTCACAGTTAGCAGGGCACACAGTGGCCCTGGAGGTCTTAGAGAATGTTGAGGATCAGCAGAGTTAAGACAACAAACACAAGGGGCTGATGTGCCAAGAAACACCAGTGAGAACACCCCAAACAGAGGGGTTTCAGTTAAGTGTGAAACTCCCCACATCAGGTTGGCTTAGTAAATCCAAAGCATTTATACCAATATTCTAATGAATACCATGCATTCCAAGAGCTAACAGCAGCCTTTTATAAATACTGGGGGGGGGGCGGAGGGGGGGGCAGGATTAACATTATGGAAGAAAACTTCAAAATGGACTCCATTCCTGTCACAATTCCATTTCTGAGAGTACAACAACACATAACTGTAGGGTTCTGCACTTAGGAGCCCCAGACGTGCCCACAAAGTGGCACATCTAACTGAGAGATGAGATAGCTTTTCATATTGATCACATCTCTCCCTGTTCTGGTCAGAGCTTCCTTCTTTCTTTTCTTTTTCATCTTTTGTTGATTTGTTTGTCCATTTTTGTCTTTTCGAGACAGGGTCTCACTATGTAGCCCTGGCTGTTTTGGAACTCCCTCTGTAGACCAAGTTGGCCTCAAACTCACAGAGACCTGCCAGTTTCTGCCTCCCAAATGCTGGAATTAAAGGCCTCAGCCACCGATGCCCAGCTCAGAACTTCTAAGTGTCAATCATGCATCAGAAAAGACAGGAACATGGCTGGTAGTAAGCATATGGATAATCCTGGACCCCTCGGATGCCCCTGACCCTAGGGTTAAGGATGTGCACTGCCACCCCTGCCTGTTAAGATGGGTGCTGGGGTGTACCAGAGGTACTTGCTTCACCATTTGAGCTGTCCCCAGTCCACCTGCCCAGCTTATTGTGATGGCTAGACCCCTTAACTGTATTATACCAGATGGCAACAGCACTGGATGTCTCTGAGCACTGTCATGCTTTCACCACAGACATCAACCTTGGTCCCTCCACAAGCAAGATGACCCAACTGAGATCCAGAGATCTTCACCGGTAAAGTACAAGAGGGAGCCGGTTCAGTGGTGGGCTGTGGTGTCCTGCAGAACAGAGAGCTTGAAGGTGGCCTCTGCAGGTCACGGCTTAGGTGGCCTCTAGTGAGGATGCTGGTCAAATGCTGCCTTTCCTGGTTCCCCGGTAGGATCTGTAAATCCAGCCTCTACCTGCTGTCTCTTGGCTCTAACAGCCCTGCCCGTGGCACAACTCTGGATGTGTAGGCGTGAGTGTGTCTAGTCTGGGTGTTCAGCCCTGGGGCTTCTGGGTGGAGCCTCTCTCTTCACTGCCTCCCCTAGGGACACCCTGGAGAGGGTGCAGAGTTTCTGCCACACTTTTCTCACCTTGAGGCTAAGATAACATGGAAATTTAGAGGAAGGAACTCTGTGTTTGCAGTCCTGGGGCAGCACTGTAGAAAGTACATTCAGTTACTCACCCTGCTGACTTCCTTAGGAGCCGATTCATCTGGGGATGGAGAAACAAGGAGAGAAACAGTTAGCATCTGGAAGGTGCACTGAAAAACAGCATAGGCATTCACTCCTGACACACTTCTGACAAACTTCCTCCTAGGAAGTCTGAGAGTCTTATAAAGGTTAAACATAATGAATTGAGAGGAAAAATTGGGGCGGGGGAGAGATTAAATACCACAGCAACCGTTTGTGCAGATTACCTTTTTATAGATTCTAAAAGGGAACTACAGTCACAAAGGCACAGTCAACTCTACAGACACTGCCGTGCTACACAGCTGCAGGAGGAGGAGAAAGATGCAACCCCCAGAAATGGACCACAGATCCCTTGGTGTGTGAGCTCTGAGGTGTGTGAGATTCCAGCAGGCATGCAAGTGCCCTGCAATGGCAGTGCCCTGGCCGGGCAAGCAGCACACACTGGATCCTTGGCAGCCACTGCCAAAGTGACAGTGATGGTTGTCAGCCAGTCTCAGTGAGGCCCCCAGGGACCTGCCTTTAGTGCTGGCTTTGGACAAGAGATGCCGAACCTCCAGGGTGTAAGACACAGACAGGGTGGAGGGTGGCTTTTCAGACACTGAAGCACTCTGCCCACTGCTCTAGACCCATCAGGCATGCTGTTTCACTGTTGTCTCCTTTCTCTGTGAAAAGCAACACCTTTGCAAGCGTCTTCATTTTGGGTCCTGCATCATTTTCAGCCTTCTAAGTCTGCCTGCAGGTATGGTGAACCTGTACCAGAAACTGACTGGGCCTGTGTGTGTGTGTGTGTGTGTGTGTGTGTGTGTGTGTGTGTGCAGAAGACACAGTCAACAATAGCCCAACACTCAGACAGGTGTCAGCCTCCTTTTCAGTGTCCCCATCAACCCGTCCTGGCTCCCAGTGTGTCCTGAAAGCCATTTCTGCTACTAGATAGCAAGTCTAGTCCCACAGCACACTGTGTCTTTCAAAATGAACAACTAGATTTCAACACTGGTTGTCCTGCTCTGCAAGGATATGCTCACCAGACGTGGGCGATGGCTGTTGAAGGGCTCAGGTGCTGCGTGATACTCCTCCAAGAATGAAGAATATACCAGGTCAAAGGTACTTTTTAACCCCTTTCCTTTCAAGACAGTTTCTCTGTGTGACAGCCCAGGCTGTGCATCATGGGATTTTTCACTTACTCGTCACTTCCCATTTTGTCTTTTCCTAAACCTCTCTGAAAATGGAACTATTAAATCATTATAGGTTTATTAGTGGATCCTAAAACTATAAAGGCTTGGATTAGTGTAATAAATTCAGTAAGCATGGATTAAAAAGCAAACAGGCTGGTATGATGGTGTGTGCCAAGGAGGCTGGGGCAAGAGGATTAAGTTTGAGGCCAGCCTATGCTGTGCAGTAAAACCATGTTTCAAATTTAACTAATTAATTATCAAACACAATCATCTTTATGGGCATCCAATGGAGAGTAACAGTGTGCCGTGACACTGGGTGTCACAATAGCACAGAGTCAAATCAAGCATGGTCCCGGACTGTAGCTCCCTCCATCACTGTAGCTCATCTCCATACTACAGAGAACAGTTTCAGAGTCCGACATTGCAAACAGACGTGTTCCTGCTTTTCTCATTGACCTGGCTTAACACTCCTATTCAAGTACTAGCCAAGTTCAAGACCTGGTACATTACTTCCCAAACTAGTGTACGCAAAAGATACACTGCCTGCGTATATCTACAGAACCAACTATCTTCAGCTCGATGGGCAATGTGAATTTGGGGAAAAAAAAAAAAAAAAAAAAAAAAAAAAAAAAAAAACCACTTTGCCTGTAGATGATTTCTGGATTTTCACCTCCACCTCCCTGTCCTCTTCATCTGACTTAGCACTTATAACCTGTGCTAAATGAACATCAGGCTAAATGAACACACGGGGAATGTTGTATTGTGGGTTACCAAGAAACCCACTCCCCCTCTTCCCATACTTGGCAGCTTCATTCATTGAACTCCCCTGTCCCAAAGAGTTCAGCGTGTACAAGCCAGGTGTTTAATGCCACTCCATGCTGGGCAGGCCCTCAATGGAGCAATGTCAAACCCCCGTCTGCAGCGCCCAGCGGTGCTCCCTGAGAATGTGCTATACTTGGGAAGCCAAAAAACATCCAGAGAGACACCATCCTATCAGTGAGAGTTGTTGCTGAGAACAAAATTATTCCTCCAAAGATAAATAAATAATGGAGAAGGCACTTGCCCCCTTCATACTGTTACTATTGCCGGTAGACCAGAGGAATTCCAGTTTAGTGCCTCAGTTTGGAATGCTGTCCTCGTGGCTTCCAGCAGCCCTCACAACTGACCTGCTGGTGTGTATTTCACATAGTCGAAGGGCCAAGCTCCCTTTGAATGGCTGGGTAAGGGACAGTGGAAAAGAAGGAACTGACTTGGATAACAGGCTTCAAATCATTCATGAGAATCAAATTATCATAAAGAGTTTTCAGACCAGAGCACCCAGGTCTTTAGGCAGAAAAGGTCCTTAAAAACACACCTGGGCAGCATCCAGGTACTGAGCTGGACACTCAGCCCTGTCCTCGGGAGTCATGCAGGCAACTGACATAGATGAGCAAGGAACAAACAGAGGCAGAGCAACCATGCCCTCCCTCACTAAAAACGAAAGTATTTTGTTTTTCAGAAAGGAGAAACCATCTCTCCATCCAACTCCATCATAATGATCTTTAAAAGCCTCAGCAAGAACCGGGCATGGAAGCAAAGAATCCCCTTGGGGTCTCCTAGTACTGAGTAGTGTCCCTTTCACCGTAAATACTCCCTTTAAATATTTTATGTCTTTATAAATGTGTGGATGTTTGTGTTTTGTGATCACTTTCAATGGTTCCTTGATGTGAGATGCGATTACAGTAATGGACCCACACTTGTGGCAACAGATAACAGAAATCCAAACTTGCTGGCAGATACTGAAGTACTCTGTCTGTGGCTTCTGTCACATGCTTGCTCTGGATTTATTGGAAGGTCCCAGGAGAACAGGGAACAACCCCACAAATGACAAGTGGGATTACATGAAGCTAAGATGCTCTGCCCAGCAAAAGAGACAACTAGCAGAGTGAAGAGGCAGCCTGCAGAGTAGAAAAAAATAATCCACAACTACCCAACAGATGGGGTTGGTCTTTAGGAGACACAAAGAACTGTAAAAAGTGGGCCATGTGCTTATTGTGTAAACATGGAGACCTGAGTTTGGGTCCCCAGCAACCCTGAAAAAGCCAGTCAGGGCAGCTGGGGGCAGGGAGGCCAAAGATGAGTAGGTATATCTTGGGAGCACAACAGCTGGCCACTGGAGCCAAATCAGTGAGCTCATACTCAGTGACAGACCTTGTCCCAATACATAAGGGTGAGTTCAATAGAGGGTACCCAATGTCAACTTATGCCACCACATATATGCACACATGCCTGCTACATACACCAACTTGTACACACACACATGCCAAACAGTAAAAGGACTAATAAATGGAATAGATAGTCTCAGTAGAGGAGACACAAATGTTCAATAAATACTTAAAAAGTCAGAGAAAGGCATACCAAGACTGTTTGGGGATTCTGTCTTACCCCAGGCAGAATAGCTGCCATCAAGGCAACAGACAGTAACTAGTGCTAATGAGGCTTCAGAGAAAGGGAAAATCTTATCTACTGTTGGTGGGAGTGTACACTGCTTCTGCTACCAGAATTCAGCATGGGAGGAGGGGAGGTCTACAAACAACAACCTGAGCTACCATGTGACTGAGCTGTTCACTCTTGAGGGTGGACTCAGAGGACAGAGTCAGCACAGAGACTTGCACAGCCTCGCTCACTGCTGCAGCATTTACAACAGTCAGAAACCTCATCTCCTCCTCCCTTTGCCCACTCCATCCCATCATCCCTGTGCCCACCCCCTCCACTTGGTTCTGCCTCCTGCTCTCTTACTTAACAGTGGCACACTCCAGCAACCTGCCTTCCCTGTCACACCAGTGATTCTCCTCACCCCATGCTACACTCCCCACCAGCATAGGAGAAGCCTCTCCCCGCAAGGCCCTCCCATCAGGGCCCACTCCTCCCTCCATTCTGTCCTTCAAAGGACCCTTGAGAGGCTCCCTGTGCACTCCCCCCCACCTTGTCCTTGGCTTCTGAGTCACATTCTTCCCAAAGACAAGCAGACACTTCTGACCCCAGCACTCCTGGCACTTCTGCTTTTAGTGTTCCAGATCTAGGAGCCTTAGATTCCCAGCACACACTCATAAGGCCATATGTACAGCAGTATTTATGCTGATATTAAACAACTCTCGGCACCTGAGATGACCACCTGTGGGAGAATGCAAGGGAGACCCCAGGCAGCTTCCACATGCCTAACCGTGCTTATTTGCAATTTTTGAAATTAAAATATAATTGCATCATTTCCTCCCTCCCCTCTTCTCCCTCCAACACATCCCATGCCCTCCTCATTCCCTCTCAAATTCACTGTGACTTCTTTAAATGCTACCATTACCTATGTGTGTTGACACATACATACATATACAAGCACGACCCATGGAGTCCATTTTGTCTCACTTATACAGATGTGATTTCAGGGTCGACCGGTTGGTATTGACTAACTCTCACAGCAGATGAAAGGGTGGCAACAACAGAAGAGCTGCTGGGGCCTCAGAACAGCTCCCAGGTTTCACCTCTACCATTTTCAGGTCACTCAGAAAAACTATGATGGTCCTAATGGTCACACTTTGAATGGCGAGGGTAACCTACCTAAGGCCACACATTCTAACCCTTCCCAAACAATTTATCATCTGGGGACTAAGCATGCAAATATACGAGCCTATCGGGGGCCAGGCTCATTCAAGCAACAAGTGCCTTTGACTATGTTTGATATAAAATGTTTAGCCTAAAATTAACCTCTCAGTTATCCTGAACAACAGCTGTCCTTTGTCAGTTATTATTTCTTAGTGTCAGTAACACATGTAATCTTTGTCATGTTTGGCTGCTTTGGAAGTTTGAGGCCAGCCAG